ATGTGAGGAACGAAAAAATTTATTTTATAAAATGTGGAGGACTATAAATCAGATTATGTAAAATATAATTTGACAAATTTACCCTTCAAAAATGATCACGTGCCTTGCACATGATGGATTCCGGCCAAAAAATGATCGGAAACCTAGTTAGGGACTAAATTTGACCGATGTGAATATGTAAGGGACATAAAATTACACTTTTAAAAGTGAGGGACGAAAAAAGTTATTTTACAAAATGTGAGGGACGTTTTGGACGATTTTCTCAAATAGAAATAAGTACTTACCATTTTAGCCTTTAAGCGGGAAACAATACAGACAGCGACTTTATCATTTCCACCCCCACAATCCCAACGTCAGATTATCATACTGCACTCTCACTCTTCTTGAACTCTCTTTCCATGAAATCCTATCTTTCTATGGTTGCTTAATCCTTAAATCACTAAGATAAAACCAAGCCCCTCAAGTTTCTGATCTACGATAGAACTGGCTGGATAGGCGGCTTGCTGGGAGAGCTTCAGAAAGCTATGCGAAGCTCAAGGGATCAATTACACATAGGGGTGGCAATCGGGTCGAATTTGGGTTGGCGGGTCGGTTGAGATCCGGGTATAACAGAAAACCCGTTGACCCGAACCTGACCCGCCAACCCAAAACGGGTCAGGGTACCTGACACGAACCCAAAAATTTCGGATTGGCAGGTCGATCCGATTTGACTCGAAAGTTAATTTTAATTTATTAATTTATCACTGTAATTTCTAATAAAATCAATTTTTCACAAAACTAATTACATAATCAAGTAATAAAAATTTAAATAAATATTTTCAAACCAAATCTAAAATAAATTAAACATGGTAAAAGTGTTTTATCCCAAATCAAATATAAAATAAATTAAAACAGTATAAAAGTAAAAAAAATAATATAATATATTATTTATCCAAATATAATAATTTCAACTTCACACAAATTAAATAAGTTCATTTAAGATTAAGTAATTAATGCCTTTGAAAAAAAAGAACAATTTAATTTAGTTAGATAAAATAATTTTTATGTTTGTTAAATTATTTTTAATTCGTAAACGGGTCATATCAGGTCACCCACGAGTTGACCCGAAATCGATCTGTTTTCTTTTCGGATTCACCGGGTTTGACCCGATTCTGACCCGAACCCCCGAAATCTCAATCCAAACCCATTAATTTTGTGTTAGATTCGTGTCATGTTTTCAGGTCTCGTCGAAAATTGTCACCCCTAATTACACAGATGGGTCAGGTCGGCTCGAGAGCTGGGAATCATTTGAATCAGATATTGCTAGTGTTAACCCGACCCATGTCTTCAATGCCGCCGGCGTCACGGGTCGTCCCAACGTCGACTGGTGCGAGTCCCACAAAATTGAGATGATCCGGACCAACGTTGTCAGCACGCTGACGTTGGTTGACGTGTGCAGGGAGAAAGGTTTGATCTTAATTAATTATGCTTCCGGGTGCATTTTTGAGTATGATGCGGGTCATCCACTCGGGTCGGGTGTTGGATTCAAGGAGGAGGATACTCCCAACTTTATTGGATCTTTCTATTCCAAGACCAAAGCCATGGTGGGTTCTCTTTCCTTTTATCTTTTCATTCATTTTTGGTTTCCTATATGAAATTCTAATAATTTATGTTTTAATTTTTTTATTTTTGGAAATTGTGATTAACTGAGCTCAAGTTGTTATTTGGGTGTTTTTTTTTCTTAATATGGGATATTATTAATCTGTATCATTAGATAGTGGGTAGGCTGAATGGTTGTTAAGAACAGCATGCAACTAGAGTCAATGAGAAAGAATTGCGAATTGCGAATTTGTGAAGGTGGTTCCGGAAACTAACAATTTCTGCTGCAACCGAAAATTTTGAGTTTGCTTTGTCATTTGAAGTTCTAACATATCCAAAACACAACAATATGGCATTCTGTTTTAAGCCAAACGTTTTGAATTGTCAAAATGAGACAATGATGGTTAGTAATCAATTTTTGCTTGTTATAGACGTCCTGATCTCGTTTGCAGTGGTTACTGGGCTGTCTGAACTTCTGTGTAGACACCATAATTGAAGCTATTTGACCACAATCCCATCTCATGCTCTCAAATCTCAAATTTTCAATAATTGAGCTATTGCTTGACTCTAGGCACAATTATATGTTGAAATCAATGTTTTCAGAATCGGATCGATCGATTGGACCGCGGATCAGACATGTCACCGGTCCGATCTAGTGTTAAAACCGAAAGTTTATGGAAAACTGTTGAAAATCGAACAAACCGTTCTAACCGTAAACCGACGGTTTTTCTAATTCTTCAACAAAATGTCGAGAATAGCATAGCTCCGATTCGAACTTGAGTCTCCAAGTTTACATATGACACTCTTACCGCTAAACCATAGTTGAGTTTGTTCTACTTCACTAAAAAATATATTAAAACATCAAGTACAGTGCATCAATGCAGGTGAACTTTTCTAAATTTCTTTCCATCACTTTCTTTCTCGGCTTCATCAGGCGGCGCTCTCTCGTTCTTCTCCTGATTTTTTTTTCCAATTTTTTCTTCTTAACCATTTTAAACCCAAATATCCACAACAAGATTTTCTCAAGTCTTCACCATTATTATCAGGTTATCATTTTTAGCAGATTGTAAACAAGTTGGAAATTTCAACTTTTCTTGTTTTCCATCATCTTGGTAAGTTTAATTTTTCTCTTTTCAAGTTTTTTTCTATATTATTATCTTTAGTTGATTTTTTTGCATTTTCTTCTTTTTCCCCCCAATTTTCATTTGTTTCCCTAATTTTTTTAATTTTTATTTGATTAATTAAGGATGAAATTTTTGCAAAAGTAGCTCACCTCTGTGTAGGAATTGGGTAGGACTTACAAATAATAACATTGGGCTGGTCAAAATATGGTAGTTGGCACATAATCGAAGCTATTGATCATTGAATTTAAAATAATTAATGGTATAGGATCATTGAATTTAATATAACATGTTAATTAGTGATGTTTAGTAACAATTAATTTTTAATGCATTTAGCTGTATATTTGTTTTTCAAATTTTTTTAGTTTGAGCAATTAGATTTATATTTTTATAATAAAATTTTAACTTTTTCAAGTTAAGTTGATGAAATTGTGAAGGTGGTGTTGTTGTTGCTTGTCATGCCACTGATGGAAGTTTGTTATTCAAATGGTTTGTCTTGATCGAACTCTTTTATGGATTTTTTTAAGGATTGTAAAAGAATTTTAATATTTATTTTATTTATTTTTTTTGTGTATCTATTTATGTTTATAATGAATTTATGAAAACTTGTGGTGAATTGTAATATTTTAATTATATTTACCATTCCATGTTTTATGTATAACTTTTAGGAAATTTATTATTATCTCAACTTAAATTTAGTCATGTTGGTGAATGCATTTTAGAAACTTAAGTTATCAATAACCATATTAAATTATACATTAGTTGTCAAGTTCAAGTGTAGAATGAAACCTACTTAGTACTTAATACTTAAAAAAAAAAAAAACAGTGAACCTGTGAACCGGCCGGTCCGGGTTTAAAAACATTGGTTGAAATAGAGAAAATTGCACCAATCATCGCGGATGTGAAATAGGTTAAAATAAAAAAAAAAGAAATAAGCTAATAAAAAATTGTGATTCTTTCTAATCAGTAAGCATTTTCACACTAATGAATCTTCAAAATATTTTGCATAAATGGATAGATTGAAAAAATGTACAAATTTAGACATTTAAATTAAATTAATAGATAACTATTAGATAATATCAATCAAATCTAATAAAGAAGAACATAATTCAAAAATCTAAGGAATGGTACATGGATTGTTATCAGGTATTAATAAGTTTCTAGAATAACTCAACTAGGTATCTTTGGATAGGAGATTATTTGGAATAATATTTTGAAAATGAATATTGTAGCACTTTTTGTGATATGTTTTATGTGAGATAAAAAAAAGTAGTTGGAAAAATGTGTTTAACTGTTTATGATGCAATAAAATAATTTTATTCAAACAACAACCTATCCGAACAAGTTTTTTCAGAAAAAATAAAGAAAAGAAAAACCCAAGCTCCATAAGTTAAGAGCCTGATTCATAATCAAGCTAACTTAAATTGATAAAAATTGATACAAGCAAAAAAAAAAGGATATCAAAAGATTTTAGCTTTGTATTGTTTTTATTTTTATTTTTTTATAGCTATTTCTTTTATAGCTTTGCTAATGTTAAGATAAAAACTTAATTAAACTCAAGAACAAAAGAAGAAATCAAATCCAACTCGACAACAATAATGTTCAAATAAACCCTTATTGCACTAAATAAAATAAGAATAATAACATTTGACAAATCAATCTCACAATAACTAGCCCAACTTGGTTTGGTTAGTTAAGAACAATTTTATAAAGTATTTTAAAAGGTTATATGTAATTATTAGTAAGTGTAAATGCATGTCATATTTGTAAAAAGTAAATTTTAAATTTAAATTTAGATTATGTGATATACATGTGAATCTATTTATGAGATAAAATTTCATTGACAGTGCATAAAAATTAATTCGTTACTATATACTGCTCTAATATTGCTTGTGACTCACAAGTTGTGAGTACTCTTTCCATCTGTATGATATGTCCCGTTTGTAAATGATCTCTTTACATCTTCTTTATTGTATTAATCATACAAATTATAACTCGGCTTGTAATTACTTGTAAAAAAAATATAATTTGTTTGTTATTTATCAGTAAAATATTATTATTTTTTGTTAAAGGAGACTCCAAGCGAAGAGTCAGAACCAAAAATCTAAAGGTGGAAAGGGTGCGAGAAGAGACGAAAATTTTTAAAAAAAAAGAAAGAAAGAAAGAAAGAAACGGTTGGCAAGTGATATAAAAGGCTTTTAAGGTAGCTTATCAGAAAAATCAATCCAAAAATGACAAAAGCAACGGAATACGCATCCCAGCTGAAGTTTTTAAAGGTCAAGTTATATTACGAGAAATCACTGCATCAAAATCCAGTCAGTGAGGGGATACCAGGAACTAGTTAGCATTTGGCAACCAATCTGCATATCACCGTGACTACAAAATAAAGTTCGTCTTCACAATTAGTAAAATACAGAATGCGTAGTTGTGACATGGTCCAAGCACTAGAAACTAGAAGGTCCCATACTAAGAGGTAATGCAGATTCTGATCAAAATGAAAACCCATCAAGTGGTGCAAATTTAGCTAGAATCTCAGCCTCTTGCTCAGCTGATCTCTTCTTTCTAAGCTCCCATTCTTGCTTTTCAGAATTGGCTGCCCGAACATCGTGGACAATCTTTTGGAGACACTCCATGACTTTTTTTTGACTGGAGGAGTATTGAACGATCTTTTTGTTGGTCAGCTTTAGATCTTGAGTGATATCTGCCCGACGTGATTGCAAAGCAGCAATTTGTTCATCAATTTCCATTTGAGCTGACAAGGCAGATGCTTCGTCAGCCTGACAAATTTCTAGTTGCTGCTTTGTTACGATGTATTCATTCCTGAGTGAAGCAACATTAGCCATCTTGGAATCAAGGTCAGCAAAGAACTTTTCAGCTTGTCCTGATAACTTCTTAGCATCTAGGAAGCTGTTGCTGGCCATTGGAATTTCTTCAATCAACTTTAGCATGGAAATTTCTCTAGGACTCACTGTTGGACCATTTTTGAGCTGAGATGCCAGGGCAATAAGTTCGGTAAGCTTGTTGGAGTCAGCTAAGCTGGCAAAACCCATGGCAAGAAGAGAAGAAAGTTTTGATCGGATTTGAGTCATGCCTTCTTTGTGCGAAGAAGCAGCAGGGTTAGAAATTTCAGCTCTAGTGATAGGCACAGAGAGGATTTCATCAAGGGAATTCAGGAAATGATCATAGTCCTCGGGAATCAATCCAGGCTGAGATTCATCAAGGGATTTCAAACCCTGTTGTTTGAGGTCAATCGCATAGTGGCATGCACTATCATGTGGAGACACACTAGCACGACTTTCAGAGACTCGGCTACGTCCTGAAATCTTGGTTGTTGGACCACTTGCAAGTGTTTGTTCTTCTACTGCAGGCACATCTACCATGACCTCTTTACCGCAATGAACTGCAGCTTCTTGTTTTTTATTAGAGACTTCAACACCTTTTACCAATTTACCCGCTTCTTTTTTCGAAGAGCTTGATTGGGGACTAGGACTGCATTTGCCTGCAAGAAAGAAAGATTATCCTGACAAGTCCATAAGCAAAACATCTTGCAGGAAGAAAGGGAATTTTAACTTTGTTGCAGAAAAGGACTTTGAGCAATAACTTGTACAACTTACAGAATTCCCGTAGATAGCTAATGAAGGTCACAAACCCGCAACACAAAGGTGTTACTACTGTTATGATGGCAGACAAATGTTTTATGAATTGCTTATAAATTTCCCTTGGTTCTGATGCTAATTTGACTTGCAGGGTTCAGAGATCATGGTGAAATAAAGTCTGATAGAATGAGGAATTGGATGGGTACATCATGATACAATCAATCAATTCCATACGTCTAACAAGGTGAAGTGCCGACATTTTTTGAAAGAGTGCTCACGCAGTCGTATATTTTCAAGAAGAATTTGGCAGAAGATAGGAGGTCCGAATCATGTATAAGTTTAAGCAGATATCCTTGAGGAGAAATGGGTACATAGTTTTGCATAGACAAGAAAAGGGTTTGAAGAGCAAAAGTCTAATAAATTAGACGACAGCAAATCAATTCAACTAAAGCAAACCTTTTAAGGTAGAAAGCATGTGCCGATCAGCTATGTTCAAAGGAAAGAAGTACAATGTTTAACAGAGCGTGATCATACAACCAAATGGAACAGAAGAAGAGGCCTCTAACAACAATGTAATAGTGTACAAAGATTTCAGGTTTCAGAAGCCAATTGATGTCTACTGAGACTATAATGAAATATACCCAACTTGTAACTTAAGAAAGACATAGAACCACCATCTTTTGGTAATGAACTGCTACAGATTAACCACAATAGGACCAAAACATACTACGTATAGTGGTTCAGAGCTAATAAAACCAAAGTCCAAGAAACTTTTATATACTCATCATCAACTGTCCTCAATCCATGAAGATTATATTGGAAAAAAATAAGAAACATAGAATGCAGTCCACAAAGCAATGTCAACACACAACGTTCAAAAAATCTCTGCACATTAACAATGGCAAATTGCTTACTTAGTTTTGAAGAATGAGCTTCTGCTGGAACATGCCAAGTGAATGATGCAAAAAATGCTTCACTGTCAGCTTCAGGGAATTGTGATTTAAGATAATGTAAAACAGATGTCTTGCTCTGGAATAGTAATTTTCTAGTAGGCTTGTCTTGGAGGTGCTGAGGAGCATACAAGAAATGATGAGAGTAGAATCCTTCAACACTAACTCTGCTTCCAACTCTCCAACCCCAGATATCACCAACATTTGGCCAATCAACTGGAGCATATGGCAAACCTTTGCCTGACGCTCTAGGTGGAACTGGACAAGCAAGAACTTCTGATTTTCTTTTCAAGGGTCTGCAGTCATGGCCTGCCTTGGAAACATCAGTCTTCATGTTTCCTCACCTTGCAAAAATCGAGCTCAATGGAATACGTCTAGAATTAATAACGGGATAGAATTAAGAAAAGTAAGCAGGTAGAAAAACGACTAGATCTTATTCCACATCTATTCTAGCTAATAAAAGTTCAACAAGTCTCCATTTGGCTGCAATTGCGATTTTCAAGCTCTTGCATTAGAATACGTCATGTTCCGTAGCACAATGTTTTTTCCAATGGATTCATGAGCTCAACTATGAGTCAGTCATGTTAATTGATTGATAGTTATGACTTGTAAATCAAATATTTTACGGGAAAAAACACATGAATTTAATGCCAAATATCCACATTTCTTGCATAAGTTTCAAATTCTAACTGAATTAAAAAATTTAGCTAACAAGCCTACTGTAGAGCATAACCGAAAAGCTAAACATTCTGTCCTAAACCAAGTGATACTTGTACGCTATACTATACCATACATCCCACAACCAATAATACTCAAATGGACAAAGATTCCGATAAGCATGCAACTACCTACATGTATTAGGAGCCACTGGAATACAAAGATTATACTGATCACCGAGTGACACTAGCACGCCTTTGTACAAAGCAGAGTCCCTACAACAAAGATGGTGCAAAAACTAAACACTTCAGTCAAAGTGGATGCAAAAAGGGGCTTCTTACAACATATTTGCAGAATGAGAAGTGAAAACTCCAGATCCGATCATCTTTGGTTGCTGAAGTAGCAAACCAAATGGATCGACTTAAGCATGAAAAAAAAAAACCCAACAAAAAAGTAACTAGAAAAGAAGCTAAAACAGAGATGAGAATGTTGAGATGAAAAATATTACCCCAAATACAACTGATTTTTTCATTAACAACATGCATCTATCTATAATTTCTTGTAAAACAATCCCACCACTCAAAAGAAACGGTTTGATTATGTCTCTCAATCCTCAACCCAAGCAATCCCCCCAAACCATATGTATATCCACATATAAAACCAAAATAAGGGACGTCGTTAAAATGCAAGAATTCTAACAGAAAATCAAGAAAATTGCATTCAATTTAAGAACATTGGCATGTCACACTGATCAAGCGAAGAAATGTGAACAAAGATCAAAATAATACTCACGGCAGAACACCTTCAAGTGAGTGTCTGATCAGAGAGAGAATTGACAAAGATAGGAGAAAATTGATTCAGGTCCAAATGTTAAGGGGTATTTGAAAGTAGCTTCTGATGGTTACTACTTGCTAGTTTGCAACTTACGGGACCTTTAAGCTCAGCTATGCTTTGTTATTGCATGTCAGTGTTGGGCTCACTTCACTTATTTCACAAATTTATTCCCATAATTTTTTGTTGACTGACAACTCTATGTACTATCTCAGTACGGGTAGAGTGTCGAGGGAGTGTTTGGATAGCACAAATATCCCAAATCATAATATTTTACTTACATCATAAATACATTTTTCAATCCACTATTTTACATTCTTAATCAGCTTTTTATCTCAGATACGTCACATCACAAAAAGTGCTACAGTAACTATTCCAAATAATATTTCAAATAATACCCTATCCAACCAAACCAGTTTCAAAAGACAAATCTTGAAAATTAGTTTGTCCAGATATATATTTCAAAAAAGGGACTGTCCGGCAGATCACCTACAAGTGAGTGTATCAGAGAGATAATTGACAAAGATAAGAGAAAATTGGTAAAATGGTTCAGCTCCAAATGGGCTAATTACTTAGAATATTAATAAAAAAGAAAAAAGAAAAATCGGATACTTTATTATTGTGATAGGAGTGTGATATCAATTCATTATCAGCCATGCGCCTGACACCAAAAAAAAAGATGCCAGGCTGCGGGGCTAACAGGGCCGGCAGCCAGTCAAAGAAACAAAAATGGAAAAGGCTCTCAGGAAACGTGTGTTTAGGAGCAGACTCTAGTTGGTGAAAATTTACTCTAGTAGCTAGCTAGCTAGTAGTAGTGGTATCTGGCGTGTGAAGAAATTTACCAGCTAAAACAAGCCATCCATTTTCAGCTAAGCAGCTAATTATCATTTATGATTTATCACTCCCTGACTGCCTTCTTCTGCTTCTGCTTGCTGCCTTCTCAGTTCTGACTTATCCCGTGCAGATACACCAGAGCCTCACAATCATTTTGCTTTGCTACAAAATATAACACAATAAGTATATAGTAGTAGTAATTAATATACTTAGAAATATTACATTATAATTAAGTTCTTAATATATAGCCAGAAGGAAAAAAAAAGAAAGAAAAAGAGAGCACTTAATTAGATAGCCAAAAAGTTCAGTCCGACATGTTAATTCAGATGGATGTTTCAGTTTAATCAAGGTTAGGGGTGAAATTCATGAAGTTTTCTTTGAGTAAACTGATTTCAATCTCCTGCCCACTATTATGCAGTATAAATTAGAACCCACATGAGTCCCATGATTGTGAAAGTTGGTTGTAAAAAGAGGGTAATTTGATCGCATTAATCTTGAATCTATAAGAACCATGAACGGAATAATGAGACATATCATGAAGCTTATCTACCGTACAACCAATTCAATTACTGGTGTGTGTGTGTATATATATCACTTGCAAATTACAAATCAACTTCAAGCTGTCTAGGAAATGAAAAGCCAGCTGGAAAATTTTTCACAAGAATGAATAATGCCGAGAACATGCTGCATGCATGCTTGTTTTTATTGTAGTCATGCCAAGGGGGTGGGGGCACGGGCCCCACTGTCCCTCCTTAAATTCCTATAACAGTTATATAATTTTGACGCCACTGGCCATTTGGTCCAGTGGTCATCACCACATAAGGTGATGCTAGAGGTCAGGGGATCAATCCCTGCCTCCCACAAATTTGCCACAATTTGTGGCGGTCTTAATTGACCTTCATCGATGGAGTCTGTACTCACATCGAACCCCCTCCCCTTCCCCTTAGACTAGGCTAGATTAGGTTATAGGACATCTATCGTTTCGACAAAAAAAAAATAAAATATAATTTTGACATAATTGTAAATGTGTCTCCAGAGATTTTTTAGAAAAAATATAAAAGAATAGGTCACAAAATTTATATTATTCACTTTCCTCCTCTGGTCTCCCATTTTTTCCCCAATAGGGCCAAGTACCAATCATATCAGTTTTTCTTTTTGGTCCCCACTCCCCAAGTTCCCTTTCCTCCTCTGGTCCCCATTTTTCCTTCTCAACTGACGACCCCTCTTTCTTCCTCCATTTGTACTTGTTGGTGAATTTTTTTTTTTGCTTAAAAAACATGTCGTCCAAATAAAGTTGCATTTTAGGCCGAAAAAAAAAAACTCACGATTAATTTGAATCTTCCCTAGCTAGCTCAATTTAGACTGCCTTATCTCTTATGGTTGCACCTGCAACAATTAAGGGTGAATTTAGGACACTCTCAAACATGAAACATGAGCATATTTTGTTTCCTTAGAGTGTTTAAACAAAAAAAAAATGAAAAAGTTGCTGTACCTTTTTTACAATTTAATTAGAAATGCAAAAAAAAAAGGGTAAGAAATTGTGTTCAAAGAAACTCAAAAAATTTTTGTTTCGAAATAATCTCTATCCAAGCACATAAATCATCAAAAACCACTTACATTTGATACTTTTGGGTGTGCAACAAATGCATTATTCATTTCTTAACATTACTTTGTTTGATTTGGATTTAGCATGTTGTGAATTGTTATCGTACAGTTTATTTATTAGTTATGAACAAAAAGCTCAAATGCTTTATGAGAAGTAACTTGTCCCCCCATAGGAAACTACTCGGATATGGTACTCCTATGGCCATCATAATTCTCGGGGAAAATGGCCATTTTCGTCCCTAAACTTTTTATTTCTGTCGATTTAGTCCCTAACTTTTATTTCTGGCCAATTTGATACATAAACTTAATTTTCGAGTCCAATTAAAGCCTTCTACGGCGGCGCCGCCGTCTAAAAGCAATTTGGCCCCTAATTTAACATCAAACAAGGGCATTTTGGGAACTTTAAATTATCTTCTCTCCACTGCCAACCTCCGCCACCAACCACCCACCTCCTCCTCTTATCCTCCTCTTTCCATCCACTTTTGAATTTGGATAGGAGGGTGACAATATGGAGGGTCAAACTGAAATCCGCAAAGGCAAAGGTTGGTGGTGTCAAACCACACGGCTTTGTTGTTAGGCAGCAACTGGAACTGTATGGCTAAAACTCCAGCATTTTCAGAATGAATCTCCCAATGACCTCGGAAATTTGTACGGAATTCGGGTTCCTTGCCGGAGGGCTGCTGGGTGCCATCAGGAGGTTGCTGGAAGCCATCAAAGTTACTGCCATCTTGGCCTCCAAAACCAAATTGAATGCTGCCGAAGGGATTTCTTATGCCAAGGGAGAAGCCATCCTTTTGGACTTGGCTGATGGGTGTCCTGGCAAAGGTACCAAGGAACGCAAGGGGAAGAACAAGAAAGGCTTTGAACAGAACAACCATTAATTCCAAAATCCCCAATATCGGAGAATGCCCTTTCATGGGTTCCGTGAAATATTTGTCTCCCCTCGCACAGGCCCCCGATCTCCGTTGGCGCCATAGGGTCCTCCTCTGCGTACCAGTTGGTTCGATGCCAGCTCCGCCAGCTCGTGCCCGATCATGCTTATCATTCGCATTCGGAGGGGCCAGTGCTCCTGGTCCGCGCCTCCGGGCACTGCTTCCCGGAGTTGCCCACCCAGGTGTACGGTAGTGTGTAGCCCACCACGGACGGGAAGGTGAAGTAGTGGAAGCCGCAAACAGCCAGGCAAAAATCTTGGACAGTGACACCCCCAGAGGTAAGGATGAGGTAGATGCCGTTCTTGTGGTCGACGGGGAAGCGCTTCGATCGGACCGCTGTGGCGATGACCTGCTGCATGGAGAGGCGGGTGAGGTGGGTGCCCTAGGAGCAGCGGGGGTCGGAGTACTCCCCAACGACGAGAACGGAGTTGGAGATGTTAGCGCTAGTCTGGTCGGTGTAGAAGGAGACGGTGCGCCACCACTGGGAGACGGAGGGGGAAGGAGCGGCGCGGCGATCGGAGGTGGAGATGGAGAGGAGGAAGTCCTTGATGAGCAGCTGGTGGGAGGCGGCCCACCAGCCTTCAGATGAGGTAGATGTTGATCGGGGAGGAGAGGACGAGGCCCATGTTGTAGCGAAGGTCGACCAAGTCGGAGGAGCCCTCAAATTTCTTGGAGGCGGAGAGGGACTTAGGGGCAAGCTTTGGGTTGAACTAGGAGTCCGACTGTGTTTGGCAGAGTCTGCTGCTTAGCGGAGGAATTGGAGGTGGCAGCATCATTGTTGAAGGGGACGATGAGGAGGAAGAGAAGAATTACTACTGTTTTAGTAATCAACATTTTGTGTATAATTCTTGTTTAATGTCACTTCTTTTTAATTTTTGTTACCGCCCCATCATTAAAATTCCAAAAATACCCCTTTTGGGTTGCTCAATTAGGAACTTGAAGGAAACGGTGCGGTGGCTCCGCCGTTGAATTCCTTAATTGGAATCGAAATATAAGTTTAAGGATTAAATTGGCTACAAATAATATATAAGGACTAAATCGACAGAAATAAAAAGTTTTGGGACTAAATTGGCCATTTTCCCTAATTCTCGTCCTACGGTTTTAATTTGGCTTCCGGTTCTCTGATCTCTCCGCTGAGAATGGCCCTAAGTGGAAAAGTAAAAACTACAAGTCCATACTTTTTTATTTTTGTCAATATGATAGACTATTCTACATTAGGAGGAGGCAAAGGACCTGAAAAGATCCAAGAATAATTCAGAGAGAATTGAACTACCACCGGACTAAATGAATACACTACACACCCGTCTGAATTTATTAAGCAAAGCTACTTAACGTGACAATACCGTTGCCTCCCATCCCATCAAATTTTAATATTTTGACGGTGACCACCAGCCAAAGACATGTGGTTTCTACAAGTCCATACACATCACTCCTTTTGCGTGTAAATACAAGCAACAAACCCCCAAAAGGTGTTTTGACAAAAAAAAAAAAAAAGAAACAAATGATGGAAATTAACTCAAATTAGTTACGTGTCAATTCCGAAACTACATGCTATATTCGATTAAAAAACCGTGCTTTCGCCACAAATATATTGGTTGATACACTACATTTGGAATTTAGTTATGGACAATAGTTTGTGATGAATCTTTCGTATAAAATGGACTTCTAAATATACTTAGATTTGCCATTTGCAATCTAGATTTCTTTTGAT